AAAAAAGCGGATTTTGGGGGCGGGTTTGTAACTATACGGGTTAATAACCGGCGGATGATTATAAAAACGCGGCTCACGGGGCTCTTTTTTAAATCACCGGGTCGTTATACTCAAAAGACACCGATCTGGGCATATTTTGCCCCAAAATACAGCTCCAGTGCAAGGCGAGGAGGTGTCGGGGCTTTTAATCCTCTGGTTTTGAGGAGGTTTGTCGCATTTTTGACGTTTTCTCCAGTCTGCTGAGAAAAGGGGATTTTCTGCCCCAAAACAGCACCCACAGGGGAAAAAAAACCACAAATTGGGGAGGAATTGGTGAAAAAAGCAGATTTGCACTGCTGCCACAAGGTGAAAGTGTTAAAAAAAATCCAAACTCCCTTTTTTTGGGGGCAGGCTGTCCCCCTTTTCAGTGAAAATAAAAAGATTTGGTGTTTTCAGTGCCAGCAGTGGAGGTGGGGAGGAAACAGCTTCAAAAACGTCCTTAAATCCACCCAGATTTAACCAAAATTCTGCTTGAGGGGGGGCATAAATCCCTCCCAGTGTCACCAGTCTGCCCAGTTCCTCACCTCACCCTTTTCCCCTCTTATCCCAATTTATTGGCCCGAAATGTCACCATTTCGTTTCTTTTCTTCCATTTCGTAACTTCCCCTGCTCTGAAAGGAGGCTTTTTTTCCCCAAAACAAAGCCCAGTGGGGCATTTCCCCCCCCCAAATCCTTTGCTGCCCCACACCTCCCAAAAAAGCCCCGTCTGTGGGTGTATTTGGGCTAAAAATGAGCTTTTTTAACATAAAAGGGTTTTTTTTTAGCAGCAGAAATTACGCCTCCTGCCAAGATCCTGGTACTCCAAGCCTGGCACATATGGGGTGGAACGTATAGAGCAGGAAGCAGGCTGTGGCACGGGGCGTATAGCGAGGGGAACGTATAGACGGCGATATAGGGCCTGGACGTAACGCCCGGACCCTACAGCCCAATACAGGGACAAGACCACATCGCCCAGACCGTACGGCCCCATATAGCACAGCGTGTGTACCTATACATAGCATATATAGGGTCCAGACCGTACGGCCACATATAGGGACTAGAGCACAGACCCTTATATAGGTGCTAGACCCCACAGCCCAGTACAGGGCCTGGAATATAGGGTCGAGACCATATAGGAACCAGGGCATATAGGTCTGTGTAGACTCATACAGATCTCTATAGACCCTACAGATCTGTATAGGCTCACATAAATCTATATAAACCCATATAGATCTATATAGATCCACATAGATTTATATAGACCCTACAGATCTGTTCAGATCCTCTAGATCTATACAGACCCACACAGATCTATATGGACCCTACAAATCTATATAGACCCATATAGATCTATACAGACCCTGCAGATCTGTACAGACTCTATAGATCTACATGGACCCACATAGATCTTACAGACCCTACAGATCTACACAGACACATATAGGTCTGTACAGACCCCTATAGAGCCGTACAGGCCCACGTAGATTTGTACAGGCCCATATAGATCTATATAGACCCACATAGATTTATATAGATCCTATAGCTCTGTACAGACTCACACAGATCTATACAGGCCCTACAGATCTGTACAGACCCACATAGATCTATATAGACCCTACAAATCTGTACAGACCCTATAGATCTATATAGACCCTACAGACCTGTACAGACCCACACAGATCTATACAGGCTCTACAGATCTGTACAGACTGTATAGATCTACACTGGCCCATATAGGTCTGTACAGACCCTATAGAGCCCTACAGGCCCATATAGACCCATATAGACCCGCAGCGCCCGGAACATCGCGCCCAACACGGGGACCAGACCCTATAGCACGATATAGGTCCCAGGCGGCAAAAGAAATCTGAATTTTGGGGTTTTTTTAGACTTTTTGGGTGGGGTTTTTTTTCTTTCTCTCTTTCATTCAGAAAAATAATCTTTGTTTGTTTTGCATTTTTTGGGTTGGTTTTTTTTTTAATTCTCTCTTTTATTCAGGAAAATAATTTGCCCAACACGGGGACCAGACCCTATAGCACGATATAGGTCCCAGGCGGCAAAAGAAATCTGAATTTTGGGGTTTTTTTAGACTTTTTGGGTGGGGTTTTTTTTCTTTCTCTCTTTCATTCAGAAAAATAATCTTTGTTTGTTTTGCATTTTTTGGGTTGGTTTTTTTTTTAATTCTCTCTTTTATTCAGGAAAATAATTTCTCCGCTCGCCGCCGCTTTTCCCCCCCCGGG